GTTTTCTTAAGTAACTTTAGTTACTTAAGATGTAATTAACTATAGCTGTTTGCCCTTATTGGAAACTCGTTACACAGATTTAATCAAAATCCTATCTAATTAATTAAATAGGAGAAAAATTTGTCAGTTTTTAATCATAGACCATGACAAATACCCAAAATTTCTTAATTTAAGAAATCAAGTTCATCATAAAGTGATATTACTGTCTCTCGAGGTAGTGTATTACTTTTGATGGTATGTTTAATTATTTAAGTAATTAAATAATGAATTTTATTTTTTTTATAAAGATAACGCCCTTTCTTTTTAAAAATAAAACCAACATAGGTGAAGGGGCCAAAGGGGTTTTTAAATAATATCTTAATAGGGTCACCAAGCCAGCTCAATCTTGAACATTTGAATGAATTAATAGGTCACAAACCTTAATTCAGGCATATACTTGGCACGATCATACAAAATCAGATAGTAAAATGACAATTCTTATTGCCCAAACGAATAAACCAACATACAATACTCATTTTTGTATTCCCATCACAAATCAATCAAAGGGTGGGATAAAACCTAGCTATTAATGTGCTAACTCATACAACCTAGACCTATAGAAGGAAAACAAGTGTTTCGCTTGGATAAAGTAGAACACCATGTACATAGAAATGTGAATCAAGTGTGAAGGGAAAATGAAACCCACAAGCATGACTCTATAAAGTTAGAATATTGATGAAGAGAAACAAGATACGACCCGAAGTTAGAAAGACAACACCATAAGATCATGATGATGACCCCGTGGTATTGGCTTTTTATCCTCAACCACTGTAACTCAAGGTACAAGGGGACAAGCCACAGAACATGCAACAAATGCAGGAAATGAGCATACAACACAACAAAAGTGAAAAGACATGCTGAACTTGTGCCAGAAGGCTAGATACATACACATGCTTACTAGAATGCACAAATGTAAATGAAAGCTTTTGTCACATTAGCGGGATGATGTTTTAGTGTTGTGAGAAGACAACTTCAGCAGAACACCTCTATTCCAGAGGTAAAAGGGGCTGGTGTCAAAGTGCGACACGTAAGTGTCGGTCTCTATGATGCTTAGACCAAAGTGAAAACAATGTCCACATTTAAAAAACACTATATGCAGACACCAAATCATAGGCAGTGACGGGGTTTCAACCTTGATCCTACATGCCTCACCGGGTAGTCTAAATGAGTAAATGACAAAAGAGCAACAAACTTATAACAGCCAAACTGATGATCAATAAGGTCATTAAAAGCTTGATTGATTATTCATATCAAAGAATTGCCACCCTACATGCAGGTGTACAAAAGGTTCGGGATATAAATCCCTAAAAATCAAGCCTATAAACGCTACATACCCACTTATTTGAGGTAGTCCAACTTGACTTAAAAGTCATAGTCGAAATGAGGGTCACCATTTCTACATGCCGGTGTACCAACATTCTATGGGTCAAAATCCCATACTCTTGAAAAATAAAGAGTCAAGACTCTAAAATTGTTTGGCTAAGATGAACCAACTAATTGACATTGTGACCCTCAGTCCCTACATTACGATAGATACACGTCAAATATAAAAAGACTCTTGAATTGAGCTATGGCAGCAATAACTGGCACCGCAACGTCATGACAAGAATCTAACACCACAATTTTAGAAGCAAGAATCACAGTGACAGACTGGGCAGTGTTTAATAGCGCCCTTTTAATAAAATTTATGTTCAGGATTTACCAAATTCAGCCAAACATACAAAAATGCAAGCTCTATGGATTTATGAATTTCGGATTTAAGGTCCTAATTTTGCCTTTAATTCATGTTAAATCTAAATTTAGTAAATCCATCTAAAAAATGAATTTAATAAATTCAAATTTACTAAATCCTAATAACACTAAATCTTTCGTGTAGCAGAACTTCCCCGAGTAGGCTATAATGAGGAGCCAAAGCAGGACATCCAAAAAAAGATAATTTAAATAGGCGCATGATGTTTTCTCCAATTAAAATAAATAGGCCACGATATGTGCGTACTTTCTATGTACCGTAGAGCTGGCGAATATCCGAGTAAGAGCATCAAATCGAATCAAGCACATGCTTATCCACTTCTGTTCTTACCGATGTTTGTCAGGAAATACATAAAAGTATGTCAATATATATATATAAGAAAATATTTTAAGTTAATTTAAAGTATTCTGAATAATCCTACTCATTAATCGTACATCTTCCCTTAAATGTCGCTTCAGGCATGTTTGGCAAATGGCAAGCTTGTAGTTGCCTTCCTTTATATCTTAACAATTCCATACATTTTATGAAAACTCCTCAAATTACTGGGCTCCAGTAAGCAACACCATTACCTCAAACCCACTCTTAAAAATTATTTAGTGGTACAAAATTTTAGTGAGAAAGTGACTTCCACAAATATTTATATGATCTTTCATGTGTAAAATAAATCAAAACATAGAATTCTAAATTAATTTTGGTTCATTTCTTAACCGGTTCAATTTATTTCTTATAATTATTTTGCTCGAGCTTGCTTATTTGAATACTTTTATATTTCATATTATTTTACATCATCTATACTTTTCATAATAGCATGCACTCATTAATTATTCGTTTTTTTAATTTAATTTTTATCTTGTACACCTATAGAGTATGTGTGGCATTGCACCAAAGCCAACTAATATATTGTATTTTAAGGGACAAGTTAAATGATTGAAGATCAAAATATTTAGACAACTAATCATGATGATTGAGCAAAGTAAGCCCAACATGATTGAAAGAAGAAAAATTATAAAATAAGAAAGTTGTTGGACGACCAAATCAATTGAGCAAATATTAAACTGCAGGCATACTTATAACACCTGTCCTACCCATCCCACTTAAGGATTTATATATAGAGGAGCGCCCCCCATGTTACACATAACCAAGGGCATGAGAGTAATCATAGAGAAGTCAATCAGAGTAAGAATGATGATCACATTAGTGAATAAATCAAAGGTAGATGCCCCTCTTTTGAAGTGTTAATGATCCCAACATTTGACTTAATGTTATCAAATGAATGATTATAAAATATTTTTTTTGCCAAAATGAAATTTGTGGGCTATGAAAATAACTAATAGTTCAATATTTTGATAAAGGAAAAGAGGTTAAGGCGATGTCTCATGACTTAGGTAGAGATGAAAGAGTTGCTACGGTTAATAAAAAGCTTGATGAGAAATTAATGACTCTTAGAGATGTAACTTGTTTGTTAATACTGAAACACTAATAAGGATTTAGTTGTGAAGATATGATGCAATGAAAATAATTGGCTACATATTAATAAGTGTCTTTAATTTTAGGATGGGACATATCAGGACTAAGGTAGAGTTCCAGGAATTTCAAAACTTGAATGATTATTTTCAATATATTTAATGACAATGAAAAATCTACTCATCTATATTAGGTTAAGACTTGATACAAAAATGTCTCGAACCGGTTTAGATACATGTTAGAAAAGTCTACTATGAAATCTATTTGTTATTGAAAGGTTGAGTATAGAGAGAATAAGGATGGTCTAAATATGAATTTTATAGATATAAGAAAATCCTAAGATAAGGTTACAAGAGGAGTAATTTGGAGAGTTTTAGAAAAGAAAGGTGTTGATATTGCTATTATTCAAGTCATTAAAGATATGTATACTAGAGGCGTTACAAGTATCCAAACACAATGAGGATTGATCGAGTAGTTTTCTATTTCAGTTGAATTGCATGAAATATTAGCCTTAAGTCCACGTCTTTTTGCTTTAGTTATTATTAGACACGATGGAGGATGTTCTTTAGTATATGTTTTTCACTAATAATATATTTCTTGTGGATAACTATAGAGCGAGTTCAAAAAAATCTTGAATTAGAGAGGTCAACTTTAGAGTCTAAAGGCTTTCAATGAGTGGACCTAAAATTGAATCATAGAATATAATTTTAGTACTAGTAGATCTAGTGACGGTTTTGTAAAAATGTATGACCAAGTCATTAGAAAGGAACAAACATTTTATATTGCTCAAAGTGATTGTGATATAGATGGAGAAACTATTAGTATAATTCAAGTTGGATGGTTGAAGTGGAGGAATGCATCCGACCTATTATCAGATAAAAAAGTTCCTCTTAGATTTAAAGAAAAATTTTACAAGACGATGGTGAAACCAAAATGCTTTATGGTGCAAAATGTTAGTCTGTAAAAGAGAAGCATTATATTAAGTGTTGTTGGGATGAGAATATTCAAGTGGATGATTGACTTTACACTTAAAGAAAAAATGCAAATTGAATATATTCGGGGTTGGAGTAGCTCTAGTGTCAGGCATGATTAAAGGTAGTCACCTTAGATTGATTGGTCACATTAAACGTTCACTGCCTGATGACCATGTTAAGAGAGTTGATGTTTTAGATTTGACTTACAACAAGAAAGGTAAAAGGTAAACCTAAAAAGATTTGGGTATGTTGTGCATATAATGAACTTAATTTATTAAAATTAATGAAAATAGAACACTCATGGTTCACAATGGAGAGAAAATGATTCATTTAATCAACCTCACTTACAAGGGTAAATGCTTATTGTTGTTGTTGTAACATTAACGCTAAGCCTAATCTTAATTTTAATTTACCTAAAGGCTTAGTAGTATATTTAATCATTCATATGCTAGCATCCACAACACTAAAATATTATTAAATCTAAGAATAAAAAAGATGACATATATATAAAATACCATTAAAAAGGGAATATGCAATACTAGCTAGAGCTCAAATCTGATTTTTAGAGGAGGCTCGTGAGATAGAGGCTAATGATATAATGGTGATTATTGAAAATATAAAACTTCTTATGATGTATTGGGAAATGTTACTAAGCAACCTATTAATGCAGCAAAATTTTAATTTTAGGGCCTGTTTGGGACAGCTCATGAGTGCGTCCTCCTCCTATTGAAAAAGCCGTCTAACCGTTTGTTTCGCACGTTATCCTAGTTCGTCCACAGCTGCCCTCGCTCGTTTTACGCCTCTCCCCCTCTCGCTCACGGAACCTTGCCATGCTCCTCTGTTGAAAGCCATTCGAAGCCACGGTACCTCCGTCGCTCTCAGTCGCCGAAAGCCAGGTGGCCTCCTCCTACATCCTCCGTCGCTCTCCTCTGCCTAAAGCCAGGCGCTCTCCGTCGATCCCCGTTTCCTCTACTGAAAGCCAGGCGCTCTCCTTCGGTCTCCGTCTACTCTGCCAAAAGCCAGGCAGGCCAGGTATATTCTCCCCTCCTTTGCTCTCCTGCTCACCGATCCTTTAGTCCCTTTTAAAAGGAGTTTCCTATAGAATTTTTTTCCACATAAAGATATTTTGTGGTTTCTTTGAGGATGGATGATAGTTGAAGGGGTAACATCATAATCCATCCTTATGAAAAAAAGAAACAAATGAAATTTCATTATTGGGTCAAAGTTCTGTGTCTACATATTGAAATCCTATTAGTCACTTTTCTCCACCATGAAATAGAGGGCTTAGCTATATGACATTTATCAGGACTAATTTGTTTTTGAAGCTCGTATGCTAATTAACTTTTAAAAATTTCTTTGTTGGTTCAAATATGATATGCGTGTCCATTCTTCAAACATTATAGTTACCTGTTTTGGCAATTAATTTGCATGGTTAAAACGGTTTATCAATACGATTAGTTGGTATGCGGCAATTTGTTTGTAAAATTAACGCTAAGCCTAATCATAATTTTAATTTACCCAAAGGCTTATTAGTAGATCTAATCATTCATATGCTAGCATCCACAACACTAAAATATTATTAAATCTAAGAATAAAAAAGATGACATATATATAAAATACCATTAAAAAGGGAATATGCAATACTAGCTAGAGCTCAAATCTGATTTTTAGAGGAGGCTCGTGAGTTAGAGGCTAATGATAGAATGGTAATTATTGAAAGTATAAAACTTCTTATGATGTATTGGGAGATGTTACTAAGCAACCTATTAGTGCAGCAAAATTTTAATTTTAGGGCCTGTTTGGGACAGTTCATGAGTGCGACCCCCTCTTATTGAAAAAGCCACCTAACTGTTTGTTTCGCACATTTGGAGTGATTATTCAAAACCGTGTTTTGTATTTTTGTTTACACGTGATCGCGTGGTCATACCCGGGATCCTAGTTCGTCCGCAGCTACCTTCGCTCGTTTTAAGCTTCTACCCCTCTCGCTCACGGAACCTTGCCACGGTACCTCTGTCGCTCTTTGTCGCCCTTTGTCGCCCTCTGTCGCCGAAAGCCAAGGGGCCCCCTCCTACATCCTCTGTCTCTCTCCTCTGCTGAAAGCGAGGCGCTCTCCGTCGCTCTCCGTCTACTCTGCCGAAAAGCCAGGCAGGCCAGGTATTTTCTCCCCTCTCCGTTGCTCTCCTGCTCACCGATCCATTATTCCCTTTTAAAAGGAGTTTGCTATAGAATTTTTTTCCACATAAAGATATTTTGTGGTTTCTTTGAGGATGGATGATAGTTGAAGGGGTATCATCATAATCCATCCTTATGAAAAAAAGAAACAAATGAAATTTCATTATTGGGTTAAAGTTCTGTGTCTACATATTGAAATCCTATTAGTCACTTTTCTCCACCATGAAATAGAGGGCTTAGCTATATGACATTTATCAAGACTAACTTTAAAAATTTCTTTGTTGGTTCAAATATGATATGCGTGTCCATTCTTCAAACTCTATAGTTACCTGTTTTTGCAATTAATCTGCATCGTTAAAACGGTTTATCAATTGGATTAGTTGGTATGCGGCAATTTGTTTTTGCTTTTGCAGCTAGCTCTAATCTTAATTGTCTCATTAGGATTTTGGTGTTAAATCCCGTTGCTTTCCCACTAGTCTCATGGTCTCCTAAAATTTCCCTTCGTACATTTATATCACCAATATGTTTCATATCACAAAAAAATATTAATATTTAATTTTTTTAATGAAAATCGATTGAATATTAGGTGTTAGATGTGTAAATGCATATGAATTGAGTGCTATGTATGCAAATCTTTTTTTTTCCCTCTCTATATATGCATCCATCCATCTATGGAATTGTGTGGTATGTATGTAAATGCCCCATATTTATAAACTCTCTGATGAGAAATCCTCCATTGAAAGAATTACTTTTAAAATGTGTTCCTTTCAACTTCTAGCAATAAGCTGCTGCAATGGAGCGAACAACCTTCTTATTAACTTTTTTTATTTTTTATAAATTTATTTATGTGGTTGTTGAATGTTCTTTATGGTTGTTATCTCGTGGTTTGAGCAGTCTTGAGACAAAATTTGTGGCGATTAGTAATTCCCTTGGGATTCAAATTTTGAAGTTACCTGTGGAGTTTTGTCTAGATAATTGTAAGCATACTTGATTTGGCGTGTGGAGGACATTTACTATGTTGTTCCTACATGGATTTCGTAGTGTTTCTTTCATCTGGGCTGTTGGATTGGCTTTGGTATATGCATTTAGTGGGGCGTCGATTTTTTTTAATGTAGAAATGGAATTGCTCATTTGAGGAATTACTCTCTTGGGTTCTTTTGGGCTTGTAAGCTTATTATCTACATTTATTTGTGCTGATTTATTGATCCCTATTTGTTTTTGCTTTAAAGTTGGTGACACAATATCTCATTCGGGTTTAAATTGGAATGGAAGCAGCACTGCCTTACATATCCTAACCGAACAACGTTGCTCGGCATTCGACGATTTCCCAACCGGGCAATGTTGCTCGTGGCATGTTTCTCCTGCATTCTAAAATAAACATCATCATACTTTTAATTGTAATTTTAATATGTTTTTTTTTCTTTTTAATATGTTTATAGATAGTCACTCTTAAATGAGGTGCATATCCTTTTTTGTATTGTTATGAGGTGTATACACTTATGTTGCAAACAACACAACTAGGCAATGTCAAAAAGTCATCTATCTAGAAACATCTGCAAAACAGTTGCTTTCTAAACACAGAAACCAAACAACTAACTAACTTATCCAGATCAAGGTCATAATTGTCATTTATCCAGACACAACTACAAATCAGTTATTTTCCAAAGCACAAATCAAATAGTTAGTCAGCTTATCTGTATCAGCTGCTGATCAACAGCTTATCAGGATAAAATGATTATCAGCATAAGCTGTATAAGTTGCAACTGGCCCGAAGAGACCCTTTGTCTCATTCTTTTGAGCTTGATTATTTTAAAAGTTCAGCATGGAACCTTCATTCACCTCTGAAACCTCAACTTAAGTGTGACCTTTTGATTTGGATAACCTAGGTTATTATATTAATCGAGAGTTTTCTTTATGGCTCACAACTTTGGAGATGTCATTAACTATAAGGGTTTGCCCATGTAGATAATCTGACCCCATAATAACATAAATCTTATCTTACACCCATAAGATAAGAGAATAAACCTGGTTCTGTAGACTTATGAAGCTCTTCGTCATATAAATTACTCGGTTGCCTAATATCAATCTTTATACTATATAAAAGATCATCTAATTAGGTTACATAATATCAAACTTTCTAATATACCACCATTATATTTAATACTTTTCATAGCAATCTCCACCTCACCTTTCATATCTAGATAAGTGGGAGATGACCAAAATTAGCTTCAATACCAAAATGGCTTCAATACCAAAATGACTACACTAAGATAGTTGCATACATACTCCTCCAAAATGAATCAAACACCGCATAGTTTTTCAAAAAGCCTACGTGGGCAATCAATCATGAGCACATATGTTCACCAAATTTCTATAATAACTGTTGGATTAGTAGTACCTTTGTGAGCATGACCACCATATACTTTTTTATATCTATCTTATTTAATCAAATATTGTCATCATCAATCAAGTCCAGAATAAGTGGTGCTTCACGTCAATGTGTTTGGTACGTGCATGATGAACAAGATTTATGACCGATATTATTATAATCTGAAAGAAACTCTTGATCAACTCCCCAAGTTATCCAGTAAGCCATGCATCCATATCACTTCGTTCATCCCCTTCGTGATTATCATGTACTCAGCCCTCATAGTAGACAAAGCAATAGTTGATTCAAGAATCGATCTTCAATTGAGTAGACCCTCTGCCTAGGTGAATAAATACTTAGTAATATACCTATGTCTATTCATATCATATGCATAATCAGAATCATTGTAACCTACACAAAAATTAACAATAGATCACTATCTTTCAAATATCAAGATGACATCAACAATGCTTTTCATATACCTTAGAATACCTTCACGGCCGACCAATGACTTCTTTACGGATCATGCATGAACCTGCTCATAGCACCAACCACTTTTGCAATGTCTGTTCTAGTATTTAATTTGATCGTATAGTTAACAATTTGTTATACTTTTTATTCTTTTATTAACTTTTTTAACCTAAGCTAAGAAAATTAATTTGCTTCTAATTAATTAAATTTTTATGTACTATTTTTTAACCATAAATCACAATAAATTCACATTTACATATTCATGTGAAGAAAATAACTTAATTATTCATGGCAATTAATTTTACATAAGGTCTAGGAGAAATCATGTATCTGAACAACTTGTTCATGTTGAGGCTAATTTGACCATATTCAAAATCATGTGCTTGGTTAAGCTTATGAAGTGCACTTTGGCTAGCCCAACAAGTTTGAATATAGAGAAAGTTTTTTTATGCGGATGAATGTCGGAATGAGATTGGATTAAGATGAACCGAGTATTGCTTATGACTTGATCTAAAATTACTTTTCTCAGTAGATAAAATATGAGATGATGATGGAGGCTTCTGCAGGACATTCTAGATGTTGGAGAACAAATATCTCACGAAAAGCGTGGAGAATATTCTCCACAAGAAGCATCGACTCTGCAAGTTCAGATGAAATATGAGATTACCATGAATGAGCACTTGAATAATTTTATAAAAGATCTATTAAATCTAGATGAAAATATTATAGATGAAGATAATACGCTTCTTATGTTGAATTCTTTCCCATATGAGTATGAAAACTTCACAACTACACTCATTCATCAAGAGGGTCTTGAATTATAGTGATATGACTATTACGTTGTTGAACCATGAATTCCATCGAAGAGATAATAAATCCATAAAGATGGAGTTAACTAATGCACTTTCACTCAAACGTGGCAGATTTGGGAAGAAGAAGAATTAGGTGAAGGGTGACGACGGCGATACTTCTCAAAAGCAGGACAAGTCTCATGGGACAACATTGCAGCATATGTGACTAGTTCATGCTAGAGAGGCTTCACTTTAGGATTTAGTGAAACATGGATTGATCGAAAGAGCGAGCACCTACAAAGCAATTTTTGTCAATATTTTATATTTGGTAAGAAGACATGTATATCTTTTGGTACAGTCATCCACTTTACAAAGAGTGTTATAGAACATGTTCATACTAATGTTTGGTGCTTAACAAAGATGTCATTATTTAGTGGGCAGAGATACTTTGTTTCTTTTATAGATGATCACTCTTGATACGTTTGAGTGTACATCATAAAATGTAAAAGCGAGGTGTTAGAGATTTTCATGACTTGGAAGAAATAAAATGAGACTCATAATGATAAGAAGATCTTATGTATCAGATCAGACAATATGGGGCAAATACACATTAGATGTATTTTTACAAGAGTGCATGAGAGTTGGGATAGAGCACCACTTCACTATTCTAGAGACATCACAACATAATGGGATGACAAAGAGGTTGAACTAGGCTATGGTGGAAAAAGTAAAGTGTATTGGGCCTAGATCATAGAATATATATGTTGGTTGCTTAGTGAATCATCTTCCTTCTGCAGTTATTGGAAAGAAGACAACAAAGGAGAGAAGAAGATTTTTCTTAGTAGGGATATTATATTTAACTAATCAAGCATGTTGAAGCCTTGGGACTCAAAACATGCAGAGAGTTTTATTGGGATCATAAATATATATCAGTTGTTGGAGTTTGTTGCAACTTCATTTGTTCCACAAATTTTGTCCACTCTTACTCAAATATTTGATTCATTTGCAACTAGGAGGTACTTATTGATAGTGCAAGAGAAGACTAAAGAAGATGTTGAAGAAGACGTCTCAACTCAGGAATCTTTTTTTAAGAGCAAGACCAGGTGCCAAATTATTTTAAAACTAGCTTGATTTAGGGGTCACAATGTATATGCACTTTGAACCTTAGAGGATGAAAATTCTTGTCTCTATAAGGAAGTGATGGAGAGCTCAGATGACGATCTTTAGAGAAGGGCAAGTGATGAAGAGATCGAGTTTCATCAAAAGAATGATAACTAGAGATTAGTGAAGTTTCCTCCAAGGATTAAAGTTGGATGCAAATGGGTGTATGCGAAGAATGAAGGATCTCATCGAGCTTAGGTGTGGTGCAAGGCTAGGTTAGTGGAAAAAAGCTTTGTGCAATGAGAATGGTCTGACTATGATGATGTGTTCTCTCTAGCGGTCAGACATTGCTCAATCTATGTTCTCTTAGAACTTGTAGCACATAAGTTCTGATTTTGAAGCGACTTGATATCAGGACTTTATTTTTACATAGAGAATTGGAAGAGGAGATCTTTATATTGATTTTTGTGGTCAAGTATCCCAGGTTGTGTAGCATCAAAACATTTGATTTGTATAGTGAACAAGTCTTTATATCGGTTCAAGCTGTCACCATGACATCAGTATAAAAAGTTTGATCAATTCATGATGAATTAAAGTATATTTGGAGCTATTAGGATCATTAAGTTTTTTTTAAGATGTTAGTCAATGGTAGGTTAACCTACTTGCTTCTATATATTGATGACATGATTATTGCATCTGTTAGTCAGCAACTGTCCAAATATCTTGAGATAAATGAGTCGAGTGAAACTTACATAATACTTGGCATGTATATTTTTTAAGGACAAAACATTGAAAATGTTCGTCTTTCATAAGGAGCTTATACTCGAAAGGCATAAAAAATTTTAAGGTTGATGACTTGAGCAATTGGTGAGTTTGCCCATGACACTTCTTTCAGTTAAGTTCAAAAAAGTGTCCTAAAAATGATCATGAGAGAAAAAAATTGTGATCCGCTTTTTATGTCAATGCAATGTATAATATGTATGTCAGTGTCATACTAGACTAGACATTGCACAAGTGGTTGGTACTGTGAGCAGGTTCATGCATGATTCAGGAAGGAGTCATCGGATGGCTAAGAAGAGTATTTTGAGGTATCTAAATGGTATAGATATCATCTTTATATTTGAAAGGTATTAATCTATTTCTAATTTGTGTGTAGGTTACATTGATTCTGACTATGCATACAATATGGATATACATAAGTCTACGACCAACTATTTATTCACATTGGCAGAAGGTCTACCCGACTGGACATCAATTCTTTGATTTACTGCTGTTTTGTCTACTATGAAAGCTGAGTACATGACAATCACAAAAGTGATGAATGAAACAATATGGATGCAGAGCCTACTAGATAACTTGAGAGTTGATCAGGAATCTCTAACAGTGTCAGATAACGATATTCTTAGCCATAAATTTAGTTGATCATGCACATGCCCAGCACATTGATGTGAGGTATCACTTATTTAGGACTTGATTGATGATGATGATATTCAATTAAAGAAGATAGATATGAAGAAAAATATGGCGGTCATGCTCACAAAGGTACTATTAATTCAGAAGTTCATATATTGTAGGAATTTAGTAAATATTTTAGCTCATGATTGATTGTTCATTCTTGCATTTTGAAAAACTTTGAGATTTTTGATCCATTCGAAAGGCTTACGTAGGCAACTATCTTAGTACAGTCGT